CATTCCAAAGTGCATTCTAAAACAATGAGGTTTTATACTGGCGGTTGCTCAAGAAACCAACCAACCAACCAACCACAAATGTGGTTTGTTTGTTTATATATTTGAGATGGTTGATTCCTGTGCTTTGGGTTCCTTAAGTGAAATATGCTTCAATTGAAAAAAGCATACAGATGGAATCCCATTTATTGTCCTTCTTTAAGATTACCTCTTCCCAGTTAGTATCACAGTTGTAATAAAATACACAAAATAATGACTTCTGAGCTGGGAGAGACCTAGCTACTCACCTAAGAGAGGTTGCAATCCAAGAGCCCTATTTTTTATTTAGGGTGTCACAGCTGATTAGAACTGGAACCAGAGTCTTGGGGCTTGTTCTCCTGGTTCAGAGCTCAAGACTCCAAGTGGAGACTTTAAGGTTTTTGACTTCCATGCTTGGACAACCGAGCTAAAAACTCTTACCCTTTACCCTTTGTTCCCTACGTTAAATCCGCCCAAACTCTCCATCCATTTCTATAAACCAGTCAGAGAAATGTCAGGTGGGTAGAAGAAGGAAAGGTGGGAAGGGAACCTGCAATGTCTTCCCACCAAGGTCAGGCTATTAATTCTGAATTGGTAACAAGAAATGACTCTTTGCTTCTCTTTTGTCTCTAGGCCTCACCCTACCTGTGTTCTTCACCGTTCTTCTCCTCTTGCTCCATCAAATCCTTTCTCTCTTTAAAAAATCTTCAAATTCTCCCTGTTCATTAGTTCCTTCCCATTAGACCTGCAAATATGATCACTTTTTCCTTAATAAAAATGTTCTCTTGGTTCTTCTCCCAATAAGGTAGCTATCTATTTCTTTCCCTTAAGGAATTTTTAAAAATTTGTTTTAAAGGATATTATATTGAAACAGATAAAATAATTGAAGGAAGATATGAGATAATATAGTATTATATGCCAAAATGTTTACATTGTAAGTTCAGTCTGTAGTGAAAGAGAGATATATTAACATATAGTCATTCAGGGATTGTATTTCAAGAAAAAATGTAATTCTGACACATTTATAGCTCTCCTAAGTATTGTAGATTTTGAAAGAGTCTGAAATTAGATATCTGTTTATTTGGAAATGAGGTTGAAGGAATTTTTACATTGGAAGGAGGTGTGATCTAGATGACTAGAATCTAAGCTTTTATGACCATATGGAGTCTTTTATAATTCTGTGATGTGGAAGCATATGCTTACACTTTTTTTCATAGTCAAATAAAACATATCATATACTTTCCAAAAAGGGCCAATAAAAATCATATAATTTTATGTCAGTTATCTCTGTCTCCAACAAAAATTTAATAGAGTTTTCTTTCCTTATTGATGGAAAATATTTTTACATATAATATTGAGATGAATATATTGACTATCAGTAATATCTTTGGAAATAATATATTCAGTTCTGTCTTTTCACTATAGAATGTGTGCTGATACATGAGGCTGTCATATATATAATATCATGATAGCTCCTCTACCCACCCCACCCACATGCCAGAAAATTCAACAACCACACCACAAAACCACAAGTAACCCTTGTTGAAAAAAGAGCCCTTTAGGTATTTTTGTGTGTGTGTGTGTTGGTGGTTTATTTGAAGAAAGAAAAAGAAATTACTCGTTAGGGTCTGGATGGTTTATAGAGCTCTCTCTTTGGCATGAAATTCAAATTCATGTGCATGTGTGTATTTATGGGAAGAACGGGCTGTGTGCCAAGAGCGGCCAGCATTCCAGCTTCAGACGCCTTAGGCTGGAGAGGGAACAGGGCGAGCAAGGGGGAAATGTCCAGTTAAGCCAGGCTTGTCACACGGCACACATTCCAGCGACTGCAGCCTCTTTTACCAACTCACAGCTTTTTGCTTAGTTTTGTCCTTCTCTGTCCTTCTCTTGGGACTTTCAGTTGTGATCTGAGAATTAATTAAACAGCTTGGAATTGAAAAATGCAAAAAAGGAAAAGAGTATAAAGCCCGATAACAGGCAAAGGCAGAATTATCTTGGAAATCTTGGTGCTGGAGGAAATATATCCTTATACCAGTACATCTCTCATAAATATGGTGCTGTCTCTTCCTTTCGGGCTTAGGTTGCCCTGGGGACATGCCTGTGATGTAATAGTCTAACATGGGAAGGAGAGAGAAAGAGTAGAAATATTCAGCCCTTTGGTCTCTGGTTAGTATTTTCATTTGTAGGATCTTCTGGCATGGTGTTTTGCTATCAAATATGGATTGCTTGCCCTAGCCGGTTTGGCTCACTTGGATAGAGCGTCGGCCTGGGGACTGAAGAGTCCCAGGTTCGATTCCGGTCAAGGGCATGTACCTTGGTTGCAGGCACATCCCCAGTAGGGGGTGTGCAGGAGGCAGCTGATCGATGCTTCTCTCTAATCGATGTTTCTAGCTCTCTATCCCTCTCTCTTCCTCTCTGTAAAAAATCAATAAAATATATTTTTTAAAAAATATGGGTTGCTTGACTTGCCCGACACACCTTTCTCCACGAAGTTTTCTCAAAGTTGTGGTTTCTGGGCTCATGACACGTTTAGATTCTTCAGGCATTTGCCTCAGAAGTATGATCAGATAAGTACCAATCAAGTGAGATGCCCTTTTCCCAGAGAAGAGCCGGGTTCCTTAAGGCAATAGGGCCGGGATTCTAGCCAGCAGGAAGGAGAAGATGGTTTTCTAGAAAGATCACCGGACTGGGAATTGAGAAACTTACATTCTATTGCCATCAAAACTAACTTGTAAATTTGTGACCTCAGCTAAGATAGTTATTTTGTCTGTAATGCAGTCTCACTCTCTGAAAGGTTGCATGTAAAGTCCCTTTGAAAACCAACTGAAAGGATCTTAGAGAGCATGTGACTGATTTCGAGTTGGAGGTGGTTGGCACGGTATATGTTTCCCTCAAAGCTTTGAAGAAGAATCTGAGAATCCTGGAGCTGGAACGTCAAGGAGTCTTCTACTTATCCAGCCTCTGGGATAAACCAAAATATCCCGATTTTCCTTATTATGATAATCACATCATCTGAATAACAGACCTGGATGTTTTTCACAGCAATATTACGTTTAGGACAATGAGGAAGTTGAGTCAGAACTTGCTCTATCTCTCCTCACTTGGAGCAAAGCTGCATGCTGAAATGTTATTTGTACGAGCTAGCCTGGTAGTCAAAATGAGGGGGAGAGGCTGACAGTGGGGTCACAGGGAGTGATGGGGACCATGGGGATCATGGGGGCTGTGGGGACTGGGAGCGCATACCCTGCATGCTTGGGGTGGCCACTCTTAGTTTTTAAAACACCAAGAAAAAACATGCCTCTCAGGGGCAAAGGGCTGTGGTTGGCAGTGAACAGTGTCTTATTGAAAACAACAATTTTGTATTCTTAGCAACTGTACAATAGGGAATTCACCAATTTAAATGATAAAATTTAGTCATAGAAGACACACACAGCTGTTTTTTTCCTGGGGAACATTCTGTGTGCAGTGCTCCTAACAGGCCTTCCTCTTTGTGTACACTTTAGTCTTCTCTCATTCTCCTTAAATATGTTTCTTTCTTCAGAATTATTAATTCTTGTAAGTTTTCTGTCGTATGTCCTAATATTTTTTTTAAAAGATCCTTTAATGATGAAGGGTTAGCCTCCCACCCCCAGCAGAAGCACTTGTTTTGAATATACCTTAACTGTTTTCCAGTGTTTAATTCCACTCCTCACAAAGAACACAAAGGTCTAATCCGAATCATCACCTGAAGCCTTCTTTCTTACGGTTCGTTGTTTGTAGGAGGAACAGTTGATTAGTGTTCTCCTGGTATTACCTTTCATATCCATCAGTTGAAAATAGCTGTTTTTGCACTACTCGTTTTGGCACTACGAGCCTGGAAATTATATCATGGGTTTTGTTTTCCAGTTCTCTGATAATTACAGTGTAATTACCTTTCTCTGATCTCTCTCCAATCTGTACACTAAAAAAAATAATATTTTGAATGGTACCCAGTCCTTTTATGGGCTGTTCAAACTGGTGAGATAACACCACTGTGTTAGTTCTTTGTCAGAGAGTAAGCGCCACACAACTGGATCAGACCCACTGTTCGCTGTGTGACCTCAGTATCTATTTCCTCCCTACGGGGAGTCGGTTGCAGTCAGACTTTCTTCATATTTTATCCACACAATTCACTTCTCATTTGTAAGTGTGCCCTATCTTGTTTTTGATGGATCATTTCTCTCTGATTTGTCAAGGTTACTTGGAATTCTATTATTTTTCAGAAAATCTAGAAAACTTCACTTAGTTTGTGGCCACAAATGACCGAGAATGCTTTCAGTTGCATTACTTAAAAAAAAAAATCTATATCCTAAAAGGCCTGTGGTTGTGATGCCGTAACGGCAGAACCATCACCAGGAGGTGCATGGAGCACCTCTCATGGGCCAGGCTGGCAGGGGGTGGGGGGTGGGAGGAGGTCGGGCTGATAGGGCTGGTGCAGCAGAGGTGGGGCCCGTGGCTCCCACAGGGCAAGTCTGGGGTCCCGCTGGCGCGGTGGGGCTGGGTCTCACGCAATTTCGCACACTGGAACTCTAGTCAATAATATTAGACCCAGGAGTTTGGGTGCTGTTTCATAACTACCCAAGTTTCATTAAGCCACTTATTTCTGTCACTATTAGCTAATGGTTTCCCTGCTTCTGGGTGTTTTTAAACTCCACAGACATTGGCATCATAGTGTCTTGCTTGATGATAGCAACTAGATTTGAGTGATTTAGCATTGTAATCGAGGGGGTTGGTTGGCAGTAGTGGAGAGAATAAACCTAATAATTGCTTAATTTATGCATGTAGCTTTGGGAGACTCATTATATTTTGAGTAGCAAGGTGAGAGAAAAAAGGGAAGCCTTTAGATTGAGTAGAAATGTCTATTTCATAGATGTTTTGTTCTGTGTTGGGCTTTGATTTAAATATAGTAGTCAGTGTCCTATTCAATATACGAACATAATGAGATGCATTTTTTGTTGTCATTACAGGTTTTGGAAGGTGACAATGAAATGTGAAGAAGTTACATTTCTAATGTGATACTTGAAAGTTAGTGACTGCTTGCGAAATTTTGATGAAAATTAAATATGACTTAGAAGCATTGCTTTATGAAGGTTTATGATGTCATCGGTTGCGACTGAACACAAACTCCAGCAGGCTGTGAGCCTGCAGGGAGTTGACCCAGAAACATGCATGATTGTATTTAAAAACCACTGGGCGCAGGTAAAGTATGAGTTCCACCTTCTCTGCTGGTCTAGAGGCCTCCTTCACCCTGACCCAGGGTTTCCTACCTGTGACAGGGTTTCCTTCCAGAAACAGGGAGGAAGGCCCCTTCAGAAAGGCGGGAAAGCAGCTTTCTCTTCTAGCTTTCCTAGACTAGGTATCAGGTTAAAAACCATGGTTTTCAACACACAACCAATTAGGGCACATGCATGTTCCCCAGCAGTTGGCCTTCAAGTGAATCTGACCTCACTTTCAGTATACTTGACCATGTCTACATCCTGTCTCTTCCCCTCCTCCCTGCTGATTTCCACCCAGACCTTAGACTCTGACATGACAAAGCACACATTTATTAGATGTTTACCAAGTGTTGTGCTGATTACTTCAAATGCCTTATATCATGTAATCTTTTCCACAAACCCATAAGGCAGTTAGCATTAGCTTCCTCATTGAGGGAATGGAAAATTGTAGAGGTTAAGTAACTTGCTTGAGGTTATATAACTAGTGGGTTTTCAAGTAAGTACTTAGATTTTGGTCCCTTGACCTCTGTATTCTACCCTTTTTGGGCTGGTGGTCTGGTGTAATTTAAGGGAAGACAGTGCCAGGTGTTATCTGAATTCATTACAAAGCCAATTATAAAAGTTTTTTTATTATTATTCATTTTGACTTCTCTGTGACTCTTCTCTGATCTGTTTTCATGGATAATTAAGGGTTGAATGTTCCAGCTCACCCTTTTCTCAGGGAGTTTACAAGTAGTAAAATAAATAAAATTGGCATTCTTTACTACTTGTCCAACATTACACTCCCAGGTGAGCTGGTAAGTGGCTATTTATGTGACAGTTTTTTAATGACTACCCAGTTCCTTCCTGTGTCCGGAAACAGCACATGGGTTAAAGCACTGAGCCTGTAAATCACAGCAATTATGGGGGATACAGTTTAGATCAAAAACAAAATTAATTCTGCTTCTGGGTCATTTGCACTTTGTAGCTTCTTGTCGCTATCCAGTCCAAAGCTTCCAAAATTTCTTATGCATTTCTCATTCTCTGACTTTTCACCATTTGAATCTTAATGGGTTTTCTCTGGATGTTAAGGGCACAGCTGCTTTAGCAAAGGGAAGAAAATAATTCAGGAGTTTTCCAGGTAATAGAATAATACCTTTGGCTTTGTACTTTTGTAAGAGTCTTAAAGTGCTAGCTTCAAAGTGGGGTGGTGAACCCAAACGGAAGTGCCCAATAGGCTATTGCGTGTGGGAAGAATATTTTAGAAGGTATATTCCCATCTTTATCTTTTAAAATTTCCTATTTTGTGTTTATAATGTACATAATATATTCATAAATTAGTATGTATATGTTTATTAATTTAATTATTTGTCCTTATATGTTTTTTAACTTGTAAGATTGCACAGTCAGATGCTCCCTATTGAGAACATTTTCAACCTCGGTCATTTCATTTGGCAGAGGAAGCCTTATCCTTCTAATGTGCAGTCTTTGCCCTGGGCCCCATTTTGCTTATTTGTTTGTGTATAATACCTTTGCTTGTAATCACTCCTGCTGGGGTATCTGTGATGTGATCCATTTAGCATTCTGTACCCCTCTTCAAAGACATTATATATCATCAACCTCTTGATTTTATGTAGATGGATCATTTGCCCTTTCAGATAGTGTCCTGGGCAAGTTTTCTCCAAAGCTGTGGGAGTGCTGTGAGAATGTCTTAATTCAGGAAGGTGTGAAAATGCTTTTCCATTGGTGAAGGAGGAAATCCTGGTTCCAGAATCGTATTATTCATGTCATGTCCAATATGAATGACTTCAGCATTGGCAGATATTTCCGGTTATCTGAAGCATAGCCCCCTCCGTTTAGTACAGAAAAACACCAAGCTGAGGGTAAGTAAGGATAACTTTGTCAGAGAGAATGGTGTTTAGTTAGTAAACACTCCTTTTGTAAAGTGGGGACACTCTTGGTCTCGTTGTTAACTTTGGTCAAGTTTCTTACCTCTTTAGTCTTGACTTTTCCTTTGTAACCAATCTGGAAAACATCCTCAGCTTCTGTGTACTTTCAAAGGCTCTGGAGGGCTTTCCTGTTACCTTTATCAATAAAAATGCTGGTTGCAGAAATTCACATGGATGTCAACGTGACTATTGCTGGCTGGGGATTTGCTGAGTCCACACTTCAGTGTACTACTGCAGGCACCATGGGGGACACAGGAATGGATGAGCCTTGGTCTGGGCTTTAAAAAATGTAGAAGTTAATTTGGATGCCAATGTGACATACATTGTTATAAAATGAATAATAATGATTACAGAGATTAAGTCAAGGGAAAGGACTACTATGGATGGGAAAGGCCTGGGAAATGCAGGCAGTGAGATTTTGCTAGCATGACTGAGGGAAAAGAAGGTCTTGATGTCCGAAAGGTCAAGGACACTGTAGAGAAGGGATATTGGAAACAAATGCTCAGCTTTGACTTTTTCTGATGGTAGAAAGGAGTGAGGAAGTCGGGGCAAGGAAGAGGTGTGGGACTAAGTGTGAGGTAAGGAATGAGACCTCCAGTTGATAGGAACAAATGCTATTTATTTATTGTTTTGGAGTTGCATATGTGAGTTGTTCAGGCTGGGGGTGGATGAAGAGCAATTGCAGAGGATTGGGAAATGAGCTAAAATCTGACATAAACTCCTCTGACTCCTGGGGCTGTAGCCCCTGGGTTTCCCCAAGGCAACCCGGAAGGCCGGTAAGAAATGTGGCAGAGACAGAGCTGAGTGATAAGGTTTTATTTAGTAAAGTGTTCCATTAGCTGGCAAGTGCAGCACCTTTTTATCCAGGGTGTTTCTGTTTGTTAGTGTGCAGATTCAGCATACTTAACATTGGATGAGTTCTATTCTACTGCTTACTAATAGCTTCTTTTCCAGACCTTGAGTTTAAAAGCACACTTTGGGGGGTAGGGGGAGGGTCTGCTTGCCCACCTACAACTTGCAGTGTGTCAGGGACAGCTAGTTATGTAACCAACCACCATCCAAGGCAGCCTGTGATTCAGGGGGGGTTTCCAGGGGAGAGTCCTTGAGTGGCCCAGCATTTCCAAACTGTTCCCTGGGTCTAGGGATCTCACGACATCCCAGGTTTGTTCCATAGTGGCCATTCAGGAATAGTTGTATTCCTAACAGCGACCCTGGAGAATCCAGGCTGTAGGGAGTAGTCTCTGGCCAGTACTTCCTCTCACCTGAGATGCCATCTTGCATCGTAAGTTGCCAGAGCAGGGAATCTAAAACCCAGATCTGTCTGGATCATTCCTTTAGTTGGAATGATCTAACTTCAGTGGCCTCCCAGCTACAGGCCGGGATGGCACATAGGGTTCATTATGTCCTGGCCGCGTTCATTCCTCATCTCTTATTGAGTTTCCAGAAATACAAAATGACTTGGAGTTCTTAGTCACTGCCCTCCTGGGCTGTGGCATTGTGCTATGTTATGCCTCTCTGCCTTAGGCACTTCCTCTTCTTTCTGCCTGGAATATCCCTCCCCTGGTTACATGCCTCTCCTGCAGGCCTCATGTGGGACATCAGTTCCTCCAGGAAACCTTCCCGCCCTTTGTGTGCTCTCACTCTGCTCCAGCAGCACCTCCAGTGTTCTCTCACGGTTAGACCAACCCCCTTTCACTAACATGACATGCACAGAGTCTTCTTCCCAACCTCGTGATCAGAGACCATTTGTTCACCTACGTCTTCAGTGCCAAGAATATGTTCGCATATTGTGGATTTCAACTTGCTGAACTGAAACACAGGAAACCAGAAAATACAACTTTTAGAAGAGAGAGGTGACTTAGAAAACAACTTTGAACATACACTACTATTCAAACACTTTATAATTTGCTACCAGTAAGATCTTTGGACTTGTATTTAATGATCAGTGATCTGGCAGAGTGTGTTGTATTGTGTTAGGTGTGTGTGTGTGTGTGTGTGTGTGTTTAATTTTTATAGTAGTCTATAAGACTAGTTTATAGTCTAGTAGACTGTTGCTTTTATCTCTTGCTTTTGCTTCTTTGCTTTTGAATGGAAGAGAGAGCAAGAAGGTAAGCACTGGTCCATCAGATAAACTATTGAACTATACTGCCATATGAATCCCCCCCCCCACACACACACTAGTTATTCTTAATGGCACAGTTGTAGTTTGTGAAGCTTCATGGCCCATAATGTACTCATTCTCTATCTCCTTTTAAGCACTGAATCAAGATTAGTTATATACTTAAAGGTGTCTGCTCTTAGAGCCAGGAGAACAGGGGTGGTAGGTTATTAAAAAAATCAGTTATGAATGCACATTTCTTTGTGATTCTAGTGAGTCAATAGCCCAAAGCATTTCCTTACCACTCTTAGTCTGCAAAAATAAGCTGTTATACAATTTTTTTAAGATAAGAAAATTTCAGAGCTAAAATAGAGTAATGCTGACTGATGAAGAAAAGCTAGTCTGTTTAGCAGCCTTTTTCTTCTAAGGAGATGGTGGGGATAGGAAACACTGTGTTATCTAGATTAGTTAATTAAGTCAAATGTCTTCCCACAATGCTGTAATGAAAAATAGGTAATATGTTTTAAGTATAGTGTCTGTGTAGAGCTCCAAGTAGCTTGGCTCTACTGAGAACGTGTAGAGCACTTGTCCGTGGATTTGAGATGTGCATTTCCACCTGTTCCCTGACACTCATTCTCTTGCTCTGCTCATCTTCATTCCTTTGGTATGTGCCTTGTCATAGAATCATGATGGAGAGAAATTAAGTAAAGTCTTCGAGAGATGAAAAGTTGGGCAGTATTAGAGAACTCTGATTAATCTTCATGTCTTAGTAACATTTAAAAGAATTGTTAACAAACATCTGACCAGTACTTCCTCTCACCTGAGATATTGGTCAACATTTAAAAAATTTGTATATTTCTTCTCAGCTTTTCAAGTAGCTCTAAATTTTGAAGTAGAAAGTACAGCAGAACAAAAGCTATGCTTCTTTAGAGCAACGGTCGCCAACCTTTCAGACCT